ATGGAGGCTGAGTTCCCCTTGCTCACCCATCTGGCTGGCTATGGTATATTGCCCTTTTTTGTTGCACCCTCTTTGTGGCTACCCCAGACATAGAAATGAGCTGACAGAGCTCCCACTAGGGGGCACTACAGTTCAGTTTGTTTTAAGAAAAAAGAGGCTTGAATTTCCTGGGAATTGTTTTCTTTTGGATTGTGGGACCAGAGATGGAGGGCGCTAGCTCAGCCCTCAGCCTGCCCTCAGGGATGGGCGGGGCATGTGGTGCGGGGAATCCAACCAAGGTTCCTGTGCTTTCCCAAGCTTGCCTAAGCAGGCACTTTAGACCTCTGAGCTATCTTGCCAGCCCCAGACACTTGAATTTCCTACCTTACCCACTCAAAATTGTGGGACTCAAAATTTGCCACCAAACTTTATTATGTGGATGTCCCCTTAGAAGCGTGCCAGAGGCAGCCAGAAAATCCTTGGGAGTCTGTTATAACGAACCACGCACCTGTCCCATCCTTTCATGGCCTCGCAGGCCCTTTTCAGTATTGGGATGTAGTATCTGTTCAGGTGAATCGTTGGGACAGAAGTGCAAATCCTCCTGCCCGTTCCCTCGGCCCTTACCTTGACCAGCTTCCCTCATGAATGACAACCAGCCTTGACCGTCAGCACCCAGGACTAGAAGGCAGACGAGGAGCACAACCGAAAGCTTCATCCTGCTGCAGGGTCAAGCAAACAACAAAGAATGATGCGTCTTGTTAGAGGTAATGTTTGCACAAGCTTGAATTCAGAAAATAAAACTCACTCAACTTTATATACAAACACACCGTGTGAGCACACACATAGGATTTTAGAGTAGAAATTTCCAGTCTCATTTACCTCATTAGATCCCAGAGGCTAAGAGATCACAAGGTAGACTATTGGTATAAGTCACTTTTTATTGATCGCCCAGCCCGTCACTCCTGTAAATGAAGCTTTCAATGAAACATTTACAGATTCTGTGACTGATGTACCTTCCAGAAATATGAGATATGCTTTAAAGAAATCCATAAATATCTGCAGAACTACAGCTCACTAAATTGACACAGAGGCACACCACAAAATCTACCCTTAAGAGTATTCACATACTCTTTGTGTGAATGAATGGTATGTGAAGAGTAGTAAATACCACTCTTTGGAAGAGTAGATGCAGGAAGGGCATGGAGAGAAGGAGGTAGAGCTCAAGGGTTCTGCTGCAGAGAGAGATGCTCCAAAGTGTACGTGTTGGAAGCTTCCACGGCTCACCTTGGGCTGTGTGATCCGCTGAGGTCGGATGAAGCTAGCTGCGTGTGCTGTGGGATGAGCAGGGGCAGGTAGGTCTATATAG